GACAATTGCAACAAGTTTGCTGAGAATATCCAGACTGATTGAAAATGCACCTGCTGCTGTTTTGGAACATCATACATTCAAGCAAGTTTTTGAGTCTGCTAGACAAATGCTAGGATTCAAAGCACAGGAAGATGGACAAATGACATTTACCCAAAGCGAAGACGCCTACTGGAGTGATCCTGAGTTTCTGAAAGCAGTTGATGAGATTGTACGTGCGGTGAACAAAAGGAACTTCCTAAATGATATACCCTCTTTCAGCCTGGGGTTGTCACAGGATAAACCAAATAAAAGCTGGGCAGATGTGAGTGAAATTGCACGTGACTACCAGGATGTAAATGAAGCTGATGAGCCTGCTGAAGTTCAGTTGGGTGTGGATGATGATCAAGAAGTAGACAGGCACCAAGAATGCCCTGAGACAGCTCAACAAGAACCCCTCTCTGACCACCATAAACAGGCCTTGCATGAGACTCGCGCAGCTGACACTAATACTGAGGTAATAAACTGTAATAAATCCAAAATTAACACACTATAAAACCTGATGCTCTCACCTTTAAATATTACAGGTCACACCAGAATGCCAAGGGCAGCCAGCCCCTGCATCGAGTCCACCCCCCCACCCCAACCAGCAGACAAGGGAAAATGCCCAGCTAGACTGCACAGCCCAATTGCACGAAGACCGATCACATACGTGCTTGACATTGACACACCATTATCTGCGACAGAGGAAGCTATCAGGTAGTGGGTGTTGGAAAATCCTAATCCAAATCTGTAAGCACAACACATTCTAGAAACAATGGTGTGATGTTTATATATATATGGTGCATTATATAATGATGTTGGTGTATAAATATCCTATGCACATTGTGTAACACCCCAGAATTTTAAGACTTTTTTTAAACTTATAGTAAAGGAAGAATCTTATTAAAACCCAAGATGTAAATACAAGCGTACGGGGTGCTATGCCACACCTGGGCTAGAGAACCCAAGTGCACAGGCTAACTAACTAATATCCTCGAAGAGTAAATACATAAACGTGGCACGCAGGCCAAAAGGAAAGCTATCTACTTCTACATTCCGAGTTCTAGCGCGCTCCAGTGACTAAATCTTCTGTGCCTGAAAGCCAAATATATCTGTTCAGCGAGAGATGCTGGTAACCCACTCCAACGCGTTGAAATACAATACATATAGCAATATATATAGATATATAAAAACCATTTTGAGCATGAAGATATATCCTACGAACTCTAGTTTTAAAACCGGGAATGACTCGACAGATAAAGCCAGACACAAGCAATAGTTATAACAGTCATAAGCAGTTCACAATAGATAAGGCAAGGCATAAACAGCAATCATAGCTCAACATAAACAGTCCCCAACATAAATCTCGCAGTCACATCCACCAAGATATTCATAACCACAACTCTTCCATATCTCAACACATAGCACATTTTGTTGGCGCCACAGGACCAATCGCATGCCCATACATGAGGGTCAGCGCATATAGCTCTGACACGGCCCCGCAGCACCCTGCCCCGTATCGCCACACGGAGGGGTCGATCGCAACCGACCAATGAACCGCAGCTCAAAAGAATGTGTGATCTGACTGTAGCCAGGAATTCCCATTTGACTACAGCCAGCCTCCGAACCGCAGCTCGGGAGAATGTCATCTGATTGCAGCCAAGAATTCCCATCTGACTACAACCAGCTTCTGGACCGCAGCCCAGGATACCGTCATCCGACTGCAGCCAGGAATTCCCATCTGACTGTAGCCGGCTTCTGAACCGCAGCTCAGGAAACCAATCCGATCGCAACCGAATTGGGCAACACACACACATAACACATAGCAAGCACATGCAACCCACATTACACGTTGGGAGGGGAATACAACGTATAAATAAACCTATGCGTGATCCATCACCAACTAGGAGTAGCCCTACGGGGTTCATACTTCTTCCACCTAGGTCAACGGGGTACCAATTCAACTAGCATGCAATACAATCGACTCACAAACCTACGAACGGTACCCGAAATATCAAACTAGACATAGGCACGACAAACGGGGTCCGTTGGGACACCACGGGGATCGGGAAAACATCAAACGGGGAAGCCGGGGTCCCGAGGGGGGGGGAATATTCCAGCGGGTAGCCGGTGGGTGGGGGGGTCACCCGCCGGCTGCCCGCAGGAAACACTGTTCCGGGCAGCGGGTCGCCGGCGGGCAGCTGCCCGCCCGCCGGCTGCCCGCTGCCGGAGCTGCCCGAAATTTGCCGCGGGTAGGTGGTGGGTCCCCTACCCCCACCTACCCCCACTGACTCTTTTCATCGCTTTTCGCCCCGGGAATCGTTGTGGAACCCGAAACCATGCTTAGACACCTTACAACGTAATTTACGGCAACACGTAGACAATTAACGGATCAAATACGAGAAACGAACGACACTTATCCTATCATGCTTTTCTAAACATAATCAACTCCCAAACATGCGATTTCCCGCCCGATAATCCAAGAATAATATCATACGATAAAACCTAGGGTTCTAATCACTTTTATGTTAACAAGAATACGATTCGTCTTCTAATTGCAAGATTCGGTAAGAACAACACATAATCATCAAGGATACCAATTATTCATCAAGAACATCATAATCATCAAGAACGACACATAATCATCAAGAATACCAATTAATCATCAAGAACATCATAATTATCAAGAAACTCCCAATATCAAGATTATCAAGATTCACCGTAGAATCATCAAATCAACATCAATAATAATAATCCAAAATCTCGCCATTCACAAGCTCATGGGGGAAACCCTAAGGGGAAATCATAACTATAAAAATAGGTTTTGTTGAGACATGGGTTACCTCTTAGCCTTAATTAATTCCTTGGCTATGAAGGATCTTTCTTTAAGCTTTCTTGATTCCTCCTAGGGGGATTCTTGGAGCTCCTTGGGTGGTGGGAGATTATTGTGGTGGGAATTCTAAATGCCTTTTAAGTTCCCTATTTATATGCTATGGGGTTTAATTCTCCTAGGATTAGGTATTGGGCTTAAGGGATGGGGGTCCACGGACCATGGTGGGCTTAATACTAATTAATCATTGTGATTTATTTCTATTCTCCCTGGTTAGATGTCTAATTAATTAATTGGTTTTAGGACTCGTAACACGGGGTGTTACACATTGATGTGTTATTCTATGTGATATTAGTGTATACTATGTTAACTAATGGTGTGTTTATACTAAATGATTAGTGACTGATTGTGTTTTATACCTAACATATTTCTTTTGTTCTCAATAGAACCCAAGAACTGTTCAAGTATGAAGGAAGGGTAATCCATTGGGAAGATATGCTGTCAATGAAGCCAGATTCACAGATCCCAGTCTCTATAATTGATGCTTGGGCAGCCATAATCAACATCCGTGAGTCAGAAAGAGGATGTACGAAGTTCATTGCTTCGTTGTGGACAACAGTGAGTTGAACATATGAACCTAGCTTCAACTTTAACCAGCTTACAGTTCTAACAAAAATACCCTTACAATTTGCAGTTGTACACCGTTGTGGACCCACAGGGAGATGAGGACGTTAGATTTGCAAGATTCAAATCAAAGTACCTTGAAGACAAAGTCATCGCTGGCGACGTTAGGTGGAACAACATTCTATACGTAAGATGTTAATATACATTTGATGCATCCTACTGTTTATCTATTTGTGGTGCATTACCAAGATTCGTACTAACCCCCGTAAAAAACATATCTTTTTTCTATAAAAGTTTTTGTTTCCAATTGTATCATGCAACCACTACTACCTGCTTTCCATTTGCCCACTAATGGAAAGATTTGACATTATTGACAACTCTTCTGTCACTGTGAAGAAAGAAAACAAGTATGGGACTGTGCTTTCAAATATGGTAACGCACTAAACCCTGTCTCATTACATATAATTACTGCACAACTACAACAAAAAATGCTCAGATTGTATTACTTGATGCAACAAAAATTCTTGTCAAGGTTCTTGTCTGACCTGAAATCCTCATACAAGGCTGAGAAAGTGAACAAGGTGAAATCTAAGATAATGAAAATGCCTTGGAGAGATGCACACAACAAGGTAGATTGTGGGATCTTTCTCATGCGACATTTGGAGACTTTCCGAGGGCAGACATATGATCAGTGACAGTGTGGACTTCAGAAGGACAACAAGGATCAGTTGAACAAGCTACGAGTTCGATACATGGCTGCCCTAATCATGTCAGACTTAAATGAACACAAACATAGAAACATTCAGCAGGCAGTAGAGTTCCGGCTTTGAGGATGACATTGGTGTGGAAGAAAGACACTGTGAATCTCTCTGACTTGACATGTTTTTTTGTGGTTTTTGATGACCAGCAGTTAATTTTTGTGATGCCAGACATCTAATCTGACAACTACATGTGCTCTTTTTTGCGCTATAACAATGCACCATATGCTATAGTAAAACGCACCATGATATATTCTAACATGCACAAATATTTCTGTGTTATAAAACGTCTGCATACCTGTAAAATACACCAACCGCACAAGTAAACACACACCATTGATATTTATTATAATCAATTTACATGATTCAGTATACACTATTCTAACTGTAATATACACTACATTCAAAACCATAATACATGGTTGAATATATTTAAATATGCACCATTATATGACTGAAAACGCACCACTGTCTATTATAAAATGCACAATACCAACCACACTCCACAATCTGATTCTGTGTTATGAATCATCTGCATACCTTTAAATACACCACTCACACATATAAAACACACCACAATCACACATGTAATTCATAATACACTATAAAATACACCAAATTGTGTGTCAAAACGCACCGTTATGTATTGTAAACCGCATAATTCCACAATGTCTACAAAATCCGAATTCTTTGTGTTATAAAATCTCTACACAACTGTAAAAAACATCAAATTCAACAATACAAACCAACTAAGAAAACAACACAAAACTCTAGCCATTTAATGGGCACGTCCTACTATTATGGCCATATTCATCACAAGTATGACATTTCCTTGATTGCTTTACGCACTTGTTCACAGCTTTCTCCCTTGCACTCTTCATCCGCTTCCCGCCGCCCTTGTTCTTAGCTTTAATTGGATCACGCACCTCCACTGTTGACCCCTGAGACACATCACCACAAAATGATTTAATCACACTTTCTTTGCTACTACCAGCTACCCCATTGTTATCCTCACGCCCGTCTTTGATAAAAAACTCCCTTTGCTCACAAATAACACGTCTTAGTTTTTCCAACCGTTCTACATTACCATCAGCCAATCCCACGCAAGCATAAATTTCAGACCACAATAGATTAGTAAGCACCCTAACATTGTCCACTTTAGCCGATTGGTCAACAACCGTATCATCAATATCAAATATTGGCTTCAAACTAGCACCTTTTGTCCACCGAGACACCAAATACATAGAAGGAATTCTCTCAAGTCCACGATCTTTAAACACAAAAAACATATGCCTAAACACCAACCCTATCCGCTCAAACATCTTGCATGAACATATAGCACTACAGTCAGCCAACAAAAACTCCACAGACCATGCCTTCTTATCACCATATTTTATCCCATAGCACACCTTACCCTCGCACTCACACAAAGACACCACTCGACAAGAAAAACAACCTTCACAAATCTCTACTTGCACATCATAAAATACAGAAATGGTATAGACATCCATTGCATGTTTCTCCAGTGCCAATGGAGTCTTCAAAACAGGAAAGCATGATTCAGAATCAGCAGTCAATTTTGCTTGTGCATGTCGTTGTGCACTAATAGCACTATCAAAATGCACCAAAAACTCAACCAAACTGGAATGACCATTGGAGAAACTGCCAAAAAAAACTATTTTGAGACTCTGATCGAGATGTTGTCCTAACAAATCCCGACATAAACTCATCATGAAAGTATGGAGATGCCCAAAATGTACGAGACTCAAACAAGTAACGAAACCAACCATTATCACCCAAACCATATTCCTCTATAATACAACTCCATAAATCCTCAAAAGTTTTGGAATCTATAGATTTGTTCCAAACAATGCCATTCAACTTCCTCCTAAACACCTCGTCCTTAGCTAAAACCGGTCCAACCTTCTCGCCAACCTTGCACATTATATGCCACATGCAGAATCTATGTTTTGATGTACCAAACACACGAGCAACTGCAATCTTGACAGCTGGATCTTGGTTAGTAACGACACATATAGGTTCATGACGCATGGTTTTCTTAAATCTCTCCAAAAGCCAAACGTATGAGTCTACGTCTTCCCTCGTAAGTAATCCAGCACCAAATGTGATGGATCTCTTATGGTTATCAATTCCAGTAAATGGGACAAACACCAAATTATACCTACATAATGCACAACCCAGATAACTACTAAATATACTAGATATAACAAAACACACTATTTGAAATCAAAATATGCACCAATATATTATACAGAATACACAATAACTATAAATTACTAACCTGTTAGATCGGTATGTAGCATCGAATAAAACAACATCACCAAACAATGCAAAGTTCTTCCTTGATACTGCATCTGCCCAAAAAACCCTTGTAAGCTGATCAACGTCATCAACGTCGTATTCAAACTCGAAAGCCTCACACAATTCACGCCTTTTAAAAAGAGTATCTATGAATAGTTGAGCATCACCATTCAATATGTATGCCATCAAATCACACTTGAAATTCTTAAAATCCACCCCAGTAGCACCAACATTGGAATACTCACCAACAATCTCCTTAAACAGCTTATACGACCGAACATACCCAATATTTGCCCGAACACAACTTGCAATGAACATTTGATGGCCAGTATCAAGACTACGATTCACCTTTAAAAACTGCTTAGCAATAATTGAACACATCACATGAGTGTGTCGTTCCTCCAAAAAATGCACAACAAACAGTCCATTAGACTTACGCTTAAACACCACTCTAGCCTTGCAGCCAACCCTATTTGTCACCCTCCGTCTCTTCACAACAACAGGCTTACCATCACCAACACACGTAGATTGGGTACTATAACTACTCTGTTTAAACCCCTCTCGACTACAAAAAACCTGTCTCTCCACAACAACACCATCCCTCCTCCTCCGAATTGTACCCTGTCTACAATCAAAACCAACATACCCAGCATACTGTTTATAAAAAGCAATAGCACAATCCAATGAATCAAATGTTTGCCCCACCACAGGCTTCAAACTATCAGTGCAAACTGGACGCCAATACTTAGTCAACCCAGGAGACGTTTCCAAAACACATGCATTGTCTTCCGCCTCAACGTCAGTCAAATAATGTTCACTGCCACCCTGCCCACTAGTCTCTACAACAACATCAGTTGAATTCCCTTCATCACACTGACTCCCACTTCCTTCTACGCAACCATCAACATGACCACCATCAGTGGAATGCTCTGTATTGCATACACCACCACTGCCTTCTACACCAGCATCAATTGACGTATCTTTATCACAAACGAAGCCCATCGGGTCCATAATAATAGCTGCACACCATGTATATATAATAACACACTAAAATAACCAATGCATGACATTTGGTAACTACAAAACACATAAAATACTATACTACTTAATATACACCACAATCATTCAACTTACACACTATACTAATATAATAACACACAACGTCGTAACAACAACAGTGACTTATCTCACCACCAGAAAAATATCAAACCAGATAAAAAAACGCTATACTACATTAATATGCACCACACTGATTCAAATTTCGCACTGTGTTCACGCATTAACACGCAACGTCGTGCATCAACATCGACTTATCTCACCCCCAAGAACAATATCAATCCATATAAAACCGATATAACACATCCATGACATAACAAACGCATATTATTATGATCAAAATAAAACTACAAACGCCAATAAATCAATACATACCATTCTCCATCGCACACACTGCCCGGTATACTCAGATTGCCCTACCAACTGATCTCCGGCGACCTTCTCCGACTTGCGAACCGATCGCGGTCTTGAACTTCCCGAAATTGCGATGTGATCGCTATCTTGATCTTCTCTTCACCAAGTTGCCGATTCTCTCCGATTTTGCATATATAGAACAGAACAGAATAGAAATTACCTTATATACATTCCCGTAACCATGTAAACGAAATTACATAACTACCCCCACTTACCAAAACGCGAGCAACTCTTCCTTATTTTAAAAAATACGCCTCTGCCGTTAGATTGCCTTGATCCAATGGTTCAAATATAACCACACTCCCACACCTAACTACACTGCCACATTTGAGCGCTTTTCTATATATATATATATATATATATATATATATATATATATATATATATATATATATATATATATATATATATATATATATATATCAGTCTATTTGAGATAATCAATAGATCAAAATTAAGGGGAACTAAATTGATAATTTTGTTATAATTAAAGGATCATTTTGGTCATCACATGCACCATTTCATCTGAAAATTTATTTACCGAAATGGCCCCTTGACTATAGTAAAATTACCAATTTTGTCTCGAGTTAACGGATGTTTAACGACAAAACAAACAGAAGACCAAATTGGTTAAAAATTTTAAAGTTGAAGGATTTAATTGATCAAAAAAATAGTCAAGAACCAAATTAATAATATCGCTATATTCAAGGACCATTTCGGTAATGAACTCTTTTAAGATTATTAGCCAATAGCCGTGAAAGCTAAGAAATTAATATTGAAGAAACGCTTATTGCTGAAAATTTTTCAAACTTTTAAACTGTGTGATTGTAACAACCCAAAATTTCAAAACTATAAACCCGGTATTAAGAAATTTCAAAATAGTTTTCTGACTCCATTAAAATTTTTTACGATCAATCGGTGTGTGAATAAAATAATTTTCATCACATTTTGAAAACAATTCGACACCGAAGAAGAGTATTTCTTTCGAAAATTCCAAAGTTATCGGGTACTTCGCGTACCAAGATTTAAATCGAGAATTTTATCCGAGTGAGACCGGGAGAATTTAAAAGGGAATTTTGAACAAGTGTTCATCCATATAGCTTTTGGGAAAATTCATTTTGAACCCCAAAGTAATAAAGAAATAACATTTTTAGCCCATGGTTCATAATACATGGTGGACCACAAGACATCCAAAAATCCCTTATAAAGTCATCTTTTAGCTTGGGGAAATTACCCCTTTGCCCTCAACCAATCATTGTGAATAATCCTAGGGTTTTGGACCCTATATAAACCCTTCATTCCATCACATTTTCCTGATCTCATTTTCATTGCCTCTTCCTCACATTTGTCTGCCAACATCCAAGGAGAAAAGCTTCAACCTAGTAAGCTTGTTCATCCTCCTTTCTAGCATCATTTCTCTTCTAGTTTTCTCTAGTCTTTAAGGTTTTAGGCAAAACGATAGAAGGTGTGTTGGGAAGTGTAAGTGGTGAAGGAGGCTCAAGCTAGCCCAAGAGGAAGAAGAGATCCAACAAGAAGTCTAGACTACAAGAGGTATAACCTGTAACACCCCAAAATTTTAGAACATTTAAAACTTATATAATAAAGGTAATCCTCATTACATCCTGGAAACATAACATAAGAGTATGTGGTGCTATGCCACACCTGGGCTAGAGAACCCAGGTGCACAGGCAAACTAACTAAGATCCTCAATGATGTCAATACATAAATATGGCACGCAGGTCGAAGGGAAACTATCTACTCTACGCTTCACGTCTCTAGCGCGCTCCAGTGTCTACTCGTTTGTGCCTGAAAGCCAAATATATATGTTCAGCGAGAGATGCTGGTAACCCACTCAACCGCATTGAAATACCATATAGATAAGATATAGTTATAGATATAGGAAAACTCATTTTGAAGCAAGAAGTTATACTTAGGAGACACTAGCTTTCAAAACCGGGAATAGACTCAACAAGTAGGGATAAACACATCAAACAGTAATAGGTAGTTAAGCAGAGATAACATTATAAGGAATATGCATCAGAGGTCACAATTCACTTTTCAATTCCATCACATCATCATTCAATCATCATTCTCAACACATAATCATTGATGGCACCACGGGACCAATCGCATGCCCCGAACATGAGGGTTAATGCGTATAGCATTAACACGGCCCCGCAACACCCTACCTCAATACCGCGGTATGAGGGGAGTTGATCGCAACCAACCCTTTGAAAACTGTTGACGAACTCAACGTCGGATCACGATCCGGCTCACCGCTGACGCACCCAGTCGGTGGACCGCGATCCCCTATACAAGGGGGGACTTACGACCCTACACACCGTCGATGCGCACAGTCGGTGGACCATAGCGGATCTAAGCCCGGCTCACCCCTGAGCTGTACTCAGCAGGTGGGCGAAGATCCACGGAGACTATGGCCCTACACACCGCTGTCCCATCGTTTGGTGGATCGCAGCCAGCCGTAGCCCTACACACCGCCTGATTACTCAGGTCGGTTGACTACAGCCTTCCTCGGCTTATTGGCCCTACACACCGTCCTGGCGCGTTCAGGTCTGGTGGGTCATAGCACCGAGGCCCATAGTTGGACCTGTAGTCCAAGAAGTAAATCAATTTGGCCTTAGCCACTTCTGGATCTTAACCCAGGACAATCCATTGGCCTTTAGCCACTTCCGAACCTTCAGTCCGGGAACAATCCATTCGGTCTTCAACCGACTTCCGAACCTTAGTCCGGAAAATATCCATTCGGTCTTCAACCGACTTCCGAACCTCAGTCCGGGAACCACGCAATTGGCCTATAGCCAAAATGGGGGATCATGCAACACATAACACATAGGAGCACGTAGTAACACATTCGGAGGGGAAAGACATATAAATAAACTTACGTGTGATCATACACATACTAAGAATAGTCGTAAGGGTTCATTCAACTTCCACCTAGGCCAACGGGCTACCGATTCAACTAGCACGCAAGTCTTAAGATTTACCTAACCTACGAACGGTACCCAAAACATCAAACTAGACTCAGACACGATAAACGGGGTCCGTTGGGACGCCACGGGGAATGGGGAACATCAAACGGGGAAGTCGGGGACCCGGGGTGGGTTACAAACCAGCGGGTGGCTGGTGGGTGA